CGCGGGAGCGCCGTGGGGCAGGTCGCGGTTTACGCGGTATCTTTGCGTGGTGTTTGCGTGCGCCGCTGGAGCGGCGCCGGAGCGCCACGGGGCAGGTCGCGGTTTACGCGGTGTTTTTGCGTGGTGTTTTTGCGCGGTGTTTGCGTGCGCCGCTGGAGCGGCGCCGGAGCGCCGCGGGGCGGATCGCGGTTTACGCGGTGTTTTTGCGTGGTGTCTGCGTGCGCCACTGGAGAGGCGCAGGGGCGCAGTGGGGCAGGTCGCGGTTTACGTTGTGTTTTTGCGTTGTGTTTTTGCGTTGTTTGCGTGCGCCACTGGAGCGGCGCAGGGGCGCCGTGGGGCAGGTCGCGGTTTACGTGGTGTCTTTGCGTGGTGTTTGCGTGCGCCGCTGGAGCGGCGCCGGAGCGCCGTCGGGCAGGTCGCGGTTTGCGGTGTTTTTTTTTGTTGTTTCCGCGTGGCGTTTTTGCGTGGTGTTTGCGTGCGCCACTGGAGCGGCGCAGGGGCGCCGTGGGGCAGGCCGCGGTTTACGTTGTGTTTTTTTTGCGTTGTGTTCGCGTGCGCCGCTGGAGCGGCGCGGGGGCGCAGTGGGGCAGGTCGCGGTTTACGTGGTGTTTTTGCGCGGTGTTTTTGCGTGGTGTTTGCGCGCGCCGCTGGAGCGGCGCAGGGGCGCAGTGGGGCGGGTCGCGGTTTACGTTGTGTTTTTGCGTGGTGTTTTTGCGTGGTGTTTGCGTGCGCCGCTGGAGCGGCGCAGGAGCGCAGCTGGAGCGCCGCTGCAGCCCGCTGCAGCGCCGCTGCAGCACCCCGGGAGCGCAGTGGGGCAGGTCGCGGTTTACGTGGTGTTTTTGCGTGGTGTTTTTGCGTGGTGTTTTTGCGTTGTGTTTGCGTGCACCGCTGGAGCGGCGCCGGAACGCCGTGGAGCGGGTCGCGGTTTACGTGGTGTTTTTGCGTGGTGTTTGCGTGCGCCGCTGGAGCGGCGCCAGAGCGCCATGGGGCGGGTCGCGGTTTACGTGGTGTTTTTGCGTGGTGTTTGCGTGCGCCGCTGGAGCGGCGCCGGAGCGCCGTGGGGCGGGTCGCGGTTTACGTGGTGTTTTTGCGTGGTGTTTGCGTGCGCCGCTGGAGCGGCGCGTCTTTGCGTGGTGTTTTTGCGTGGTGTTTGCGTGCGCCGCTGGAGCGGGGAGTCTTTGCGTGGTGTTTTTGCGTGGTGTTTGCGTGCGCCGCTGGAGCGGGGAGTCTTTGCGTAGTGTTTTTGCATGGTGTTTGCGTGCGCCGCTGGAGCGGCGCCGGAGCGCCGTGGGGTGGGTCGCGGTTTACGTTGTGTTTTTGCGCTGTGTTTGCGTGCGCCGCTGGACCGGCGGTCTACGTGGTGTTTTTGCGTGGTGTTTGCGTGGTGTGTTTACGTTGTGTATTTTATTTCACCATTAAGGTATTTTATTTCACCATTAAGGTTTTTCATTTCACCATTAAGGTATTCTATTTCACCATTAAGAAATTCTATTTCACCATTAAGATTTCTATTTCACCATTAAAACGCTTCTTTCACCATTAGGAGAAACCGTCAGCGCTGAACAGACTTCGCCAACATCAATCCACCTCGGCGCTGCACATCAAAGAGGTTTCGGTACTTCTGGTAGATGTCACACGAGGCTTCAGCATACCGAAATTGGCAAGGAACGGTATCCTGGCCCAGCAAAAGCCCTTGCTGTTTGATCTCTTTGACCAACTCTGGGCAGGTGGAGTCCCACGGTTTCTCGCTTTCCTTTTTACCTACCAACGCCTGGAACGCAACTTTCATCCACTCGAATCCTTTGACGCCCCGCGGGATCGCATCGTCCTGCGCGCCAACCTTCGAGACCTGGAGGAGGTCGGAACGGTGGGCCAGCACACGTCGGAGGGAGTCGACTTTCATCGAGGGAGCCACCGGCGAACCTCCCGTGAGCTGCATCATAGAGCCTGGCCTGAGGCAGGTGCCAAACGAGATGATGACCCAGATTCCCATGTCCAGGTGGCCCGCCCCAACTAGGAGCGAGGCCAGGGCAGCCACTGTCGGCCGCGTGAGCGGCTGACGGCTGCGAGGCGGAGCCAGTTGGGTCCAGCCCCTGGCCGCCCTCCAGGCACTCGGCGCCGCGAGGTCGCCCAGCTAGCCGAAGTGGGGCAGGAAGAAGACCGCCGCCACGATCGGCTTCTGGCCCCGACCCGCGGCTTGCCCCAGCAAGTACATGTAGGCCATGAGCGCGACGATGGCCACATCGAAGTCCTGCGCATTGTCTGTCGGAAGCTTGTGTTCCTCGACGTAGTCGACAAAATCTCGATATAGCCTGCGATACTGAGTCCAAGTTCGCTCGCCTAGCGAGCTTCGTTCTAGAACCGAAACGCGCTGCATGCCTGGCTCCAGGTCCATATTCGCAAGGCGCTGCTTGCGCTCCAGGATTATGTTCTCCATGGGCGCGCGCCCATCCTCCACCGAGGTCGCGCCGTCCGAGCCCACGCGAACGGCCTCGCCCTGGGCGTGCTCGAGCTGGATAAGCAAGGAAGTTTGGCCACGCCTCTTCTGCGCGGTGGCCGCCCACCTCTTCTCGAGAGGCTAAATAAAGATCCACCCGGCGAATTAGCACTCGAACCCCTTGATCGACTGCCTCGGGAGCTCGGTTCGACTTCCTCACCGAGGACATTGCGCGCCTAATCGCGCAACTATGCACTGCGCGAACCAGCCTCATGGTCAGCCAAAACGGCCACTGAATGCCCGCGTGCCAATCGTCTGATCTCTGGCGTAACGCCGAGCTCGAGCACATCTCCCTGGCGTAGCTCAGGTCGTCTCGGCGGCTCATCTGCAGCATTGAACTCGCTAGGAATCCAGGGGGCGCCCAAGAACAAATTTCTGGCCAGGGACAGGGCAGCCACGCGTCGGACCTGGACCAAGAGCGGGAAATCACGCGCTCTGGATCTTGCGCAACCGAACGCGACGCCCAAGTCGCCGCCAACGACCAGAAGACGACGCCCACGCACCCAGGAACGGGGAGAAAGTTGCAGACACCCCAAAGGCCCGCCCTGGCTGCACCTTCGCGAACCGCCATCTTCCTTCTCCACCTATGACAGAAAAGAACATTCCAATCCTGGCCAGCCAGGCCTTCGAACGGCACCTCAGGAAGCGCGGGGCCCTGCTGCCAGAGAATTCCGAAACCTCTTCCAAAGACGGCGGCGGGACAACGAGCGCGAACGGGTCATCAGAGTCGGAACAAGACAGCGCCTGACCTCGAACCTGCGCGGGATTCCTCCGCACAAATCGAGCCCTCTCCCGCGCCCGCCCCTGCGCCGAAGTCCACCGCGAATCTCTGCGGGCAACGTAATCTCCAGCTCCCTCTGGACAATGATCATCAGATACCACTTCGCCCATCCAACAGCGCTTCCAGTCCGAACGCATGGGGGGCGCGAGGCGCAAGAAAGTCCGCAGCTCAGCGCGAGCCATGGACCGCGAGGGCGCCCAGGGGCATCGACGCCGCCAGGCAAACTCATAGACAGGAGCAAAGCGGGCAAGGAGCGGGCGTTGCAGCATAGCCAGTTAGGCACAGTGGCCCAGTAGAACCTCCTGTCCTTTTCCCGATGCTTCAGGGCCCCCCCAGAAACGCTCCAAGGGCAAGGCGTATCTACCAGTATCCCTTCGAGGACGGTCGGGAACATCACAAGACCCTCTTAATCTCGATGCCTGGGGCAGCCCGAACCTGGCCTGCCTCCTGGACCTCGCGGCACTTCATCTCGTTAGCATTGGGAATCCCGCCGCCATTATCAAGGGGCGTCTGGGCCTGTGTCTCGTCGCCCCCGAGCACGCCAACGTTGTGGACGTGGACGTAGAAGATCGACGGGCTGGCCTTGCCAATCACGAGGCCGCCCCCCTGTCTTCGACCGCGGGCGACGGCTCCATCCCAGTGCCCCCCCCCCCCCGAACCAGACGCGCATTGGCGCGCTGAGCCCAGAATATACACCAAGAGAAACCCGTATGGGAGCACAGCCATAGAGGCCCAGACAAGGCCATCTCCAGGTACTTCAAGGCCCCGAACATTAGGAGCACCAGTCTCACGAGCTCGAACAGGAGGAAGGCCTACATAATCATCTAACCCTCTCTCAATGCCGATCCGATGGGAGCAGTTGCCGACATCGAGCGAGGCCGCATACAGCTCGACACCCCACCCACCTCCAACCTCGCGCAGCTCTCGGGGGGGGCCAAAATGGTGCTAGGATAACCCTTGACAAAGTATGTCCTTCTGGCGTCAACGATAAGAAGTTGCTTCCATCCTTGTTCCGCGCGAAGGACGGAGTTGCAACCTCTTTGGGCGCAGTGGGCCACCTGATCAGCCCTCGAGCGTGCAGCATCTTCAAACATCTTACGTACTCACGACGGTCAGCGCGCAATCTCGGATCGAAATGCGGGCTGACATATTCGCCGACTTGCGTCAATAGCATCACTTCCTTCACATGTATCATCGTGCTCTCTCTGTCCACCACGGCCTCAGCGTCCTCCTGCGAAACCAGATCCTGGATGCAATTCCTGTCCTGGACGCCATCAGGCAATTAGACAAGGCGGCGTTTGAACCCGACGACTGTGGAGGCAGCGTGGTCGTAGCCACACTTGCTTTGGAGGAGCTCGCGAACGGCCCCCTCCTCGCGCAACAAAATGCGGGACAGGCGGCTGCTCTGCAACGCGGTCCGAGAAAGACGGTCTTGATCTCGCCGACCACTGACGGGTCCACGAGGGCGCTCTGCGCACGATCATGGAGCCAAATGAAGCCCTGACGGGCCTCCCCCAGCCCCCGTGACCTGTGAAATCTGAGGTTGGCTCTCCGTCGACACCTCCGTGATAACCACGCAAATGTAGGAGAAGCACCTGGACAAACACCGAGCGAAAAGAACGGCGCCGCCGGCCCCACCCTCGCATCACTATCGCCTGTGTTCGCGCCCATGGATCGGCGATTCTCACGGGCGCTATATGTCGGGATGTCGAAAATAGGCGCCATCGCTCGCCGTCCATATCCTTGCCCTTATCTCTGGGATCCTTGATCTTGGCGCTACGCTTCAGCGCCGCTTCGGCCTCGTCCTTAAAGGCACTCGCCGTGCTAGTCTGCCTGTCTATCTCGGCCTCCTCGCGCACCTCCTTCGCCGCGAATGCCTGCCAGGTCGGGGCGACCATCTGGCGGCGGCGACCGTGACCTGAGAACTTCTCCGCAATCTCGCAGTTCGGGCTGGTCGGGTTCTTGGCGTGGGCCTCCAGCACCGCCTGCCACCTCTTTCCCAGCCGCTCGAACGAAGCCGTCGAGGCCACGCACAACTGATCGTAGAAGATGGCCAGCTCGAACACCTCCGCCATCACCTGCATCTCGTGGATGGAGCGATCGTTCTCACCCCAGCCAGCCGCTTGCATATGCCTTTCCAACCAGAGCGTCAGGACCATGGACAGCCGCGCGAAGAACATCATCAGCCGCAGGAAAGTTCGCGGCCCGTCGAGAGGCCAGTCCGTGAAGGAGTCCTCGACGAGCCCCTTCACCGCATCGACCCAGACGCGCTCCCTGCGGCCCTTCGCGGTGTACTTCACCGAGAGCGTACGCGCATCCTCCTCTGTGGCCCTGCGCTCGGCCGCGCCCGTGCCATCTGGCACTTCTGGGCCGGCGAGGGCCGCCTCGAGGGCACCGAGCCCTGCAGGTGGCCCCTCGCCCTCACGCGGCGCACGCATGCCTCCCAGCCCAACGTAGAGCAGGGTCTTCCGATCCACCGCGCGCACGTCGAAGTCCCCGGCTCGGATCTGCTCGAGCGCGGCCACGGCCTCGCCGAACTTGGCGTCGCCGCGATGCCCGAGCCTGGAAGCGACCGACGCGTCGGCAACCTCCTGTCCCACTCGAGCAGCTTCTCGATCTGCCTCAATGACAGGCTCCGAGACCGGGCACCGCAGGCGCCAGTTGTCCGCTGCCACCCAACGGAGCTCGTCGAAGCGACGTCCTGAAATTGCGCACCTCGAAATCTGGCCCGTAGACCCGTGGATGGGGCATCTCCTCCAGACCCTCCTTCGCTATGTACTCCTTTGCCTCCTCCCTCAGCTCCGCGAAGCGCTCAGCCGTGACCGTCCCCGCGAACCTGTATAAGGGCCTGGGCACTGCATGTCCCACTCGGCAGCCTCGAAGAACGAATCGGATAGCCCCCCGAACTCCTGACGTCCGCAGCTCCCCAGCATAGACATCAAGTCGGGTGACGAGATAATCCATACATTCTTATCAGTATCTGACCTCACTCCACGTAGAAGAAAGCGCTCATGACCATGATCATCCCCCCCGAACCAGGCGAGCCCACAAACCACAAGAATCTCTTCATTCACACTGGCCAATATTTCTCAATCCGTCCGCGGCCCTGCAGACGAGGCCCCCCGATCCGTCTAGGACAGCACGTCCGAATAGTCGCACCTCCGATCGCAGCACCGGTTAGGGCCCCGATGAGGCTATGAAGCCAGTGGGAGTTGTCGATCTCCGACCTGGCGACGACGAACGTATTGTTGAAAAAGTCGGTGGGAAGCTCGCACACTGGCTGGTACGGCGTCGGCTGCGCGTTACACACGCAGTCTGGGCACTCAGCTGGCGGCGGGAAATCGCAGAAACAGTCAGGGCCCCTCCTGATCGCAAGAGTGGCGAGCAACGCGAGCTCGTGGGCGAGACCGACGGCTATCAGTCCGACGCCGACCTCAGGCCTCAACATACTTGGGCCGAAAAACTAATTACGAGCGAGCTCAGATTACTCAGATCACCCACGTACAATCCACAGGATCTGAAGGTGAAGGTGGAGGAGGATGCGACGTAACGATGATGTATGCCTACGGTCTCATCTGCCGCGGAAAACAAGAGGGCAGACACATCGATCTCTTGGAGAACACCCTCCACATGGCAGAGAAGCCACGGCGGAGGGGCCTAAACCACAGGCGGAATGCCAAGAGAGGGACGGCACCTCGACCATGGTGCACGGCAAACAGAACGTGCCACAGGTGGAGGTAGGAAGTGGAGGAAGCGGAGGAGGGAGGAGGGGGGAGGGGAGGAAGGGGGGGAGGAGGATGAGGGGCTGATCGTAACAAGGCAGAACCCCTCGCGGAGCCCCCGTCTGGTGGCATCTTGCCGAGATTGTTTCCTGTCGCGGCGGCGGCCACGGCGACACGCTGTACCCTGCAATCATTTAGCTTGTCGCTCCGCTCCGCGGGGCGGGAGGCGGAGAAAGGCTCGGGACGTCGATACGGGGACATCGGGACGTGGTCGACGTGTCGCGCCAGAGCGTGGTGGGCCAGAATCGGCGGCGCGACACCCTACGCGCTGAGCAAACGTTCTTGAGTGCAGCATGTGCCCTGAAAGCCTGCAAACACCGGGCGACTTCCCGTGCAAGCCCTCCGGAAGGCTCGCAGCTCAAGCTGCACCAGCCGATCGGCGCCACGCGGGGAGAACAGAGGGCAAGAGGAAAAGAAGCGGCCACAGCTGGGGGAGATGTGCTCCTTGTTCCGCTAGGGGAGCCCATCGCATCGAAAAGCATCCAAGAAAGGGGGATGGGGGGGGGAAGGGGCGAAGCCGATGGGCACCCGAAGGGACTGGAGACCACAGCTTACCCTCCGCGGATGGCAGCCAATGCCGACTCTACACATGCACTCGCCCGCCAGCGCAGGCACGCACAGTTGCTCGACCATGAGAAGCGTATTGATGGCCCAACCGCATCAAAATGCAATCGCGCAGAACACGTGTTCGCCGCGGCATGAACGCACATTTTCTGCGCAGTGCGCCTTCCTAGACAACGCTGGACAGATGCTCCGACCGACATCCGAAAGGCAGAAGGCGTTCATGATCCTCCTTCTCTTCCACTCCCCACCGCAGCCCCTTGATGTTCACAACCAGCCTTCAAGAATGCGCAAACGTCGGGTCGCTGCAGCGGGTGTTTACTCAGAATGTATCCATGAGGCTTCTGAGCGGCACGTGCGCGAGACGTCTATCACAGAACGCCAAGTGATTATACTAAGAGGATCAGGGGGGCATGCGAAGCGCCTCGCCCAGATTCCATTGCTGGTCGGCAAATTGCCAGCGCGCATCACGTCGACGCTCCCTCGAACAACATAACAGTCGCAGCGAGATTCTTCACTAGTTGCCGCGATCGCATACGTTCGAACATTGGGAGGGAGCAAACCGCCGAGGTTGCCCAGGTCGGTCAGTCGGGCCCAGGGTGGCGTGACTGTGTACGGTCCTTGTGACCTTCAGCCCCGTTTCCGGCTCAACGATTTGCGTTACTACGAACCCCCCTCCTGCCACGGTGGAGAAGGAAAGATAAGGGATGGGAGAAGACGGAGGATTCAGGAGGGGAAGAGCTAGGACGGGGAGCAGGGAGGAGAGAAGAGGCATTGATTCGCCTCCGCCTCCTGATCATCCTCCTCGTCCTCCTCCTCCTCCTCCTCTTCCTCCTCCTCCTCCCCCACTCCCCATCCTTCTCGTCATGGTCCTCCACTCTTCGACATCCGCCTCACACTCCGTCTCCTGGTCCTGTCTTGTTGAATCCTCTTCCTCCTTCCCTTGCCATTCACCTCCTCCTCCTTCTCCTCATCCTGCACATCCCACTCCTCCCCATCCTACTCACATTCCTCTCCCCGTCCTCCTCGCACCACTCCTCGCACTTCCTCCCAGGTTCGCAAGATAAGCGAAACAAAGCCCACCTCAAGGAAGTCAGCACACCAGCCTTGGGATATAGCAGGAGACAATTTTTTACTGCGAATTGGGGACGTAACGAAGGCTGGCTGGGTCCAGATGTCACGGAAAAAAATGGGGCCACGAGGAACACACCAATACATCACATAGTTCTGGCTGTCGGCCACGATCACTACTGTATTGATTGTTCTGCGCGCCAATCGCATGAACAGACATGCGCGAGAACGCGCAGGACTTCTGAAGGACAGCAGCTCGGTGGAACTCGCAGGGAGGATGCTGCATATAACTTTGAAGCTGATATGTGCAAGGGTGCATGGTCCATCACCGGCGGTAAAAGAAAGCAGGACGTTCGAATACTGGAAACTGACAGGGATAATGATGGGCACAACGAAACACATCTATATACATATGGACATAAACGTACATACATACATAGAGGCATACAGAAACACAAACAGACAGACAAACGGACAGACAGACAGACAGGCATACATACATGCATAAATGGGCGTGTGGGAATTTGGGCACCTGTGCGTTTTACAATTCCATGGTCCTTGACTGACAGGAAGCCGCAGGACGTGCAAGCCCTGTCGTTGAGCCTGGTCGAAGCGCCCCACGCGACTTGAGGTACGATTTAAGATGTCAGCGAACGGCGCCTCAAGCAGAAAACCCTGGAAAACAACACACGCAACCAGCGAGTTCGAAGAATTCCTGACGGGCGGGGGTGCCGGGCTCTCCCGAAATATTGCGTTTGCTGGAAGATTCTGAAGCCTCGGATGGCGAGCTCAGTGGAAGGTGATAGAGGTCGTTGCTAAGGGCTTTGGCCATAAGATTCTTTCCCAAAACTACCCAATAAGGATTCCTTACCAACGATTCCTTCTTGGAAAATCCTGGGGGAAGGCCTTTGGATGAGGATTCTCAAATCAGGGTTCCCTACGGACTAATCATGGATAGAATAATGCTCGCAACACTCAGTCAAAACAAGAAAACAAGCCCTTCTCCACGCCAGGCAACTAGTTGTATGAACGCCGCAAACAGACATAACACTTGCCAGATATGCAACACTTGCGGGATATGCAACACACGGTAGAACTCTTGATGGCGGCCATAGAGTCCGCGTTGTTGGCGGCTTCGGTTTTTGTCAGTGGCCTCGCAACACAGACAAGTCTGCCACCAATATGGGCGGAATCCCGAGACGGCTGGAAGCCGTACATTGATCCACATTGTCCGTGAAGGGGTTGCAACATGGTCGCAGACTCCGTTCCTTTTCTCTGTGAGAAAAGCAGCTCGCATTTCGCGCCCGCAAGGGCATGCTTGAAACACTGCGCCTTCCGGTCGCAGCCGCGCAGGCCATGCCTGCGCGCCCCCCAGCATTCTCACTATCAGTCGAGGAACTGTTGTCCGTCCCAGTCGCTGGCTCCTTCGCGGTGCTCACAATCAGTGCGTTCGTCAGTTCCTTTATTATGTCATCGTGAGCATGTGACACCGTCTGCGCCAAAACTCGTCTTCGAACTTAGTGTCTCGCCCACAGCCGAGATGATATAGGTAGGTGGTGGTCGATGGATTTCTATGCCGATTTATTTCAGAAGGTCGGCGTCTGGCCTGAGATCCGACAGACCATAGAAACCTTTACCCTCAGCTTTGTATTCGGAAATTGCCCTTTGTCTTGCAGGCCCTCCCATTTTCCACCATCTGTTAGAGCGCGCGCCTGGATTAGCTCAATCCTTCTGCGTACGCCTGAGTGTCGCCTCGCCATATTCGGGGTCGAACGTCTTGACGGAGTGAAGCCTTCTGTGCGCAGGGCCGTAATAAAACACAACGCGTATATGTGTGCCCTTTGCTCTTCCAGTGAGGGGAAGCTGTTGCGTTTTGTTCCTCCAGTGTCTGTCTTGCAGTCGCGGCCTTCTGTTCGAAGTATTCTCGTGTCGCCAAATTCTAGGTCGCACGGCCATTAAATGATCGAACGTCGGCTCTCCGCGTTCTGGAGCCGGCAGAAAATGCTTCTGTCGAGCGAAAATGACTTCTCGCTGGGCCAGTTTACCCGCCAAGGCGTTCAGGCGGCTACGACGCGCTGCCCGCTGGGCCCCCGCAGGCGGGGGAGGCGGCCCTAGGGGCCCCCATCATCAGTCGGGTCCTCATCCGCCTTGTGTTCTGCCACCTCTCCCGCTCCATCGTCGCGGGCAGGAGGCGGTCGAGCTCCGCCATGTGCAGCCGCCCCGCTTGACGAAGCGGATCGCCCCCCAGACAGATGAGCGCCGTCGGGGATCTTGGTCGGCCCTCCACCCGCGATATTTTCACCGGCGAACGGATCTCTCAAGCTAGTCGATGGAACCGTCACCGACGCTTCACCGCATGTTTTTCGCAATGGGAAGAGGACCTTCGCACCTGCCGGCGTGCTGCCCGTAATGACATGAGCGTTTCTGTCGACACCTGCTTCTATGATGGCGTCAACCCCTATTTGTTCGGACCGATCGACGACGGGTCGTTTCCCGTCCTTTTTCATGCCTGTCTTGATTCAAGCCATCTAGCCGACCAAGAGGCATACAGTAGTGGTCGGGCCCCACCCGCCCCCCGGCATGCTGGACACATCCCAGGTAGATACCGATGCGCGTCCTCGGACCAGTCTTGGGCTGTTTGACGCGGGCATCGAGCGGCGGTAAATATCGCACCGCCGACCCGAAGGGCGCGAGGAGGGAGCCGAAGGGAACTCCGAATCTCTTTTTCAATGGTGATTCGTCCGTGCCTCGCTGCTGCGCGTTGTGACATAAGCAGAAAAATTGCACGACATGCGCTCAACATGGGGCTGGTAGCCCTGCGGTCATCAGAGGCGTTCTGGCCCAATTCTGCACAATCCCGCTGGCCCTCTCCGCGGCGGAGTTATGTTTCTCATTGGCCGGTTGGGTCGAATCGCGAGCAATCATCGACTCGCTCAATGGGTGTACGTTGAGTGATTTACACGCCTTCTTGAGCTCAGGTGCCGCATCTGTGAAAATGTACGCGCGGTGCTCATTTGGCGCCCGCAGGTTGGCCAGGAATTCAACCGCGTGCTCAGCCGACTTACCATGGGTGCTCTGGCTTGCCAAGAACTGCATGCCGGTCGCAATACGTCGCGCGCGAGGATTCCCCGTAGTCCCTTCGAGAGCTGCTCATCAGCCGCAAACCGGTGGCCCATGGTGCACAGACCCCCGAACTTCGTCGGTTCCGAGCATGGCCGCAACTGTTTGTAGGCCTCATTTTCCTTTGCCGTTGCTGCGCTCGCGGCGTCTCAGCCCACCGACGCGTGGGGCAGCGCGAGTTTTTCGGCAAAGATGTAAGCAGATGCTGTCGGGTGATCGCTTCCAACTTCAACTGGTCGGTTTTTGACACCCCCCAGGAGTCGGCGCCATCTTCTTCCTCCAGGTCGTCTCTGCCGAGGTCGTCGACCACCTCGACAGGTCACATTCCAGGGCGCCCGCGCAACGCCAACGGGCGGGCACCGGGCGAAACCTCGGCATACCCCCCCCGCGCGGGGCGCCCACGAGGCGCTCACGGGCGGGCACCAAGTGACACCTCGGCGTACCCCCCAAGCCGTGGGCGCCCACGAGGCTCCCTCAGGCGCCCACGGGCGGGCCCCAGCCGAAAACCTGGAACACCAAGCCAACCGTGTCGGAACATGAAGAAATAAGAACCCCTAAATGCAAGCACTGTTGGGGAAATGCAAGAAACACCACGATCGATCCACGAACCCGGAAAGGGGTATGTAACTGTGACGATGGTAACGTTTTCAAGACACCTGATTGGGCGACGGGCAACTGCAATGCTGAGTGTATCGATCTTGGCGTACCGTGCCCAAGGCTGTGCTGTACTGTGCCGTGCTGAACTGCGATGTGCCGTGCCGCGATTGTGCTCTACAGCGTTGTGGATCAAGCCCTCCTTGGCATTCGAATCCTGACCGAAATGGTATGATCTTAATCTCAAGCTGTCTCAGCACACCCCAGGGCTAGTTGAAGTGGAAACGTGGAGGACGTTCAATCAACTCGACCTCACAATCCGACTCACCTCCGAAAAAGAACGACACGACACGGGGCACAGGCTCACGGACGCGCCACAGGATGTGCCAGGGGCGCAATAGGGGATGCGCCAGGGGACGTGTCACGGGACGCATCAGGGGACGTGCCCTGGAAGTGTCAGGGACCTGCCGCGGGACGTGCCAAAGCGCGTGCCATGCATGGGGCGGCCAGAGGGCGTCATGCCAAGGGACGCTGCAAGGGACCCGCCAAGGAACGGGCAGGGGAAACGCCTGGGGACGAGCAGGAACACGCGACAGAGGACGGGCCGGGGAGCGTGCCACGCCGAACTGGAGTGCTGGCGGACGTGCCGGGGCACGTCACGCCCGAACGTCGCAAAGCACGCGCCAGGGAGCGCGCCAGGGCGCCGGGGGACGCCCCACGGAGGGGGGGGGGGGACTGCGACGCACTCTACTGCGACACGCGTTCCGCTCGAGACTCTCTCAACACGTCCTCATGCTAGACATCTGCCTGGACACGTGAAACCAAGCGTCTCGCTCGATGCGTTTTCAACACCAACTCATGCTAGACATCTGCCTGAGCGACCTGGACACGCGAAAGCAAACGTCTCGCTCAACACATCCTCAACACATCCCCATGCTAGACATCCGCCTGGCGACCTGGACACGTGAAAACGAATGGTTCGCTTGAGACATCCTCCGAACATCTTCATGTTAGACATCCGCCTGGGCGACCTGGGCACGTGAAAGCAAGCGTCTCGCTCAACACATCCTCAACACATCCTCATGCTAAACATCCACATGGACGACCTGGACACGTGAAAGCAAGCGTCTCGCTCGAGGCATCCTCAACAAATCCTCATGTTAGACATCCACCTGGGCGACCTGGGCACGTGAAAACAAGCGTTTCACTCAAGACCTTCTCAACACATCCTCATGCTAGGCATCCGCCTGGGCGACCTGGACACATGAAAGCAAGCGTCTCTCTCTCTCGAGAGATATCCTCAACAAATCCTCATCTTAGACATCCGCCTGGGCGCTCTGGACACGTGAAAACAACTGTTTCGCTCAACGCATCCTCAAGACATCCTCATGCCAGACGTCCACCTGGGCGATCTGGACACGCGAAAAAAAGCGTCTCTCTCGAGACATCCTCAACGCATTCTCATGCTAGACATCTGCCTGGACGAGCTGGACGCGTTAAAACAAGTGTGTCTCGCTCAACACATCCTCAACAAATCCTGATGCTAGACACCTGCCTGGGCAACATGGAGGCGTGAAACCAAGCGTCTCGCTCGAGACATCCTCAGGACCTGGGCACCCGAGAACAAGCATTTCACCTGAGACATCCTCTGAATCCTGGTCCCCAGGAGAGGAGCGATCTATAGTACAAAACAAACGTTTCGCTCGAGACATTCTCAAGAAATTGTGCAAAACAAGCGTTTCGCTCGAGACATCCGCAACAAACGAAAATGCTTACTTCACCTTGTGTTTTATCATTCGGAATTTCAGAAAATTTCAGAAACCAGCGTTTCGCTCGGGACATCCTCAAATGTTGATCCGCCAGCCCTCTTCGACCTCGTCACTTATCAAGGAAAGAATCCGCCGGCCCTCTTCGAACTTGGCACCGGAGACAAGTTACCAACTAAAAGAGAACCCTGGGCCCCCGCCTTTTACAGGAAAAAGAGAGAAACAGAAAGAACAACCAAAGAGAGAGAGAGAGAGAGCGAGAGAGAGAAAGAGAGGAATGCCTGCCAGGTACCGAATACTTCCTTCCAGCCTGTCGCAGCTCGTCTCGGAAGCCGCACCTGAGCCCCGAGCAGCTTCCTCGTCCTCCGGCTCCTGCCAGCTCCACACCGCTCGTTCTCACTGCTTCCCGCCCGAGTCAGCGCCTCTGCCCGGTTGCCACCGTGGATCTCAGACGCCGTCGCTGGAGTGCAAGGCGCGGCCAGCCCCCCAGCCGACAAAACCAGAGCACCGGAAAACCGCTCTGGGTGATTGCGCTGCGCTCCCCCCGCCTGGAGAAGCTGGGAGGCAACTCCTGGAACGTCTTCGTGGGGACGACTCAGCGATACAGATCCCGATTGCAAAGCCATTCGGAGGATCAGGCCACATGAGGCCCATGACTGAGCCAGATCAGGCTGGAGCCTGAGCGAGACAAAGACGGAGCAGGACGACCCTCGATCGAAGACATGCTACCGCCGATGCTGAGTCTAGCCTCCCAGAAACTGCAGCACAGAAGAAATGCGAAATCGGGACCCAGACATGCGATGCCTGGATTGTTTCAATACGCGGTCCCCAGGAGTGTCCCGAGCCTTTCCTCAAGGCCAGGGCCTGGCGGGGGTCTCCGAGTTCGAAAACCACCCCAAAAACTGTCCGTCGTGATTTCCCCACGGCGCGAGCATGTCTAGGAGCGCTGAGGGCAAAGCCGGGAGGCACCGTGCGCGGCCGAAGTGCAGGGGGGCTCGGCAGGAGCGGCGCGAGAATCTCGGGGGCGTCCAAGAGGGGGGCGTCAAAGAGGGGGGGTCGCAAATCATGGCCCGAGGCACGTGTGCGACCCAGAGAGGGGGCCAGGGGACGAGCGGGAGCCGCCGCGCGATTTTCCCGCGACGAAGACGACGACGAGGACGAGGACGAGGACGAGGACGAGGACGAGGACGACGACGACGACGACGACGACGACGACGACGACGACAGCGACGACGACGACGACGACCACGACGACGACGACGATGACGACGATCGCCTCTGAAGGTTTCGGGGTGTCTCTGGAGGCCCGACAAAGTCTCCGGAAACCTCTGGAAGCGTCAGGCCCTTCGAGGCCCTGGGCGACGACGGCGCCGACGACGACGACCACGACGACGAAGACGAGGACGCCGACGAAGACGAGGAGGACGAGGACGAGGACGACGACAGGGACGAGACGAGGACGGGGACGAGGATGACGATAAATGCGAGGACGATAACGAGGACGACAATGACGACAACGCCGACGACGACTAGGACAAGGACGAAGACGAGGACGGGGACGACGACGACGACGACGACGACGACGACGACGACGACGACGAGGAAGACGACGACGACGACGACGACGACGACGAGGGCAAGGACAACGATGAGGACGAAGTCGAGGAAGAGGACGAGGATGACGACGACGACGACGGCCTACTTCGAAGGTCCCTGGAAGTCTCTGGAGGCCTAAAGAAATATCCAGAGACCTCTGGAGGCGTCTGGAGGCCCTTTAAGGCCCTCGGCGAAGACGACGGCGAGAACGACGACGATGAGGAGGACGAGAAGGACAAGGACGACGACAGGGACGAGGACGAGGACGGGGACGAGGACGACGACTAAAACGACGACCACAACAACGACGACGACGAGGACGGGCACGACGACGACCACGACGACAACAGCGGCGATCACAACGACGACGACGAGGACGGGCACGACGACAACAACAACAAGCGACAAGGACGAGGACGACGACGACAACGGCGACGACAACGACGACGACGAGACGACAAGACGACGACGACAACGACAACGACGTGATCGAGAGCAAGGACGACGACGACGAGGACAACGACGAAGACAAGGACGAGGATGGTGACGGGGACGGGGACGGGGACGACGAGGACGAGAGCAAGGACGACGACGACGACGACGAGGACGAGGACGACAAACCACGACGACTAAGACCACGATGACTTCAACTGTAACGACGACGCAGACGCCAACGACGCCGCCGCCATCGACGTCGACGACGACGACGACGACGACGACGACGACGACGACGACGACGACGACGACGGCCGCCTCTGAATGTACCCAGCGGTCTCCAGAGGCCTTAGGAGTTTCCTGGCGGCCTGTGGAGGGGTCTTGAGGTCCTTCGATGGCCTCGGACGACGACGACGAGGACAAGGACGGGGGTGAGGACGACGACAAGGACGAAGACGACAACGAAGACGACGACGACGACGACGACTACGACCAACGACGGCGACGGCGACGACGACGACCACCTCTGAAGGTCCCCAGAGGTCTCCAGAGGCTTCAGGAGTTCCATGGAGGCCTCTGCAGGGGTCTTGGGTATCTTTGAGGGCCTCGGACGACGACGACGAGGACGAGGGTGAGGACGACGAACGAGGACAAGGACGAAGATGACGACGATGACGAATGACGACAACGACGACGTCGACGACAACGACGGCATTAACGACGACGACGACGGCAACGACAACGACCACGACGACGACGACGAGGTGAGTTACGACGATGACGACGAGAAGGACGACGACGACGATGGCTGCCGCTGGAGGCGTCTGGAGGCTCTCCTGGGGCCCGTCGACACCGTACCCTGCCTGTGAGCACGGCGCCATAGCTGTGGGGGTGCCGGGACCTCCTCCCCCGTACATTCGTTGCCGTCCTCCTCCTCCTCCTCCTCCTCCTTCTCTTTGTCCTCTTCGTCCTCCTCCTCCTCCTCCTCGTCCTCCTCCTCGTCCTCCTCCTCGTCCCCCCTCTGGTGGAGAGGTGGTGCTGGGGGGGGGGCGGGGGGCGACCCGTCCGTAACGGACGTCATGAGCTCAACAAGCTGCTTCCGTTTCAAATCTCTTCCTCGCACGTCCCTGCAGGCCTTCTTTTGCACTGCTGGGAGCGCCCCCGTGGAAAGACCAGCAACCTTGGGCCTGCCGTGCAGGCGAGGGGCCCACTCTAACAAAAAACTGCCTGGCATCCTGCTAGTGCGGAATCTGCAATGCGGGAAGATATGATCACGCAATCCGACGAGGTGTCCAGCAGCACGATTGCTTTGAAAAAAGAGCCCCCCACATCCGTGCTATCGATGCACAAGTTTACACTTATGGTTATGGACAAGGGGGAAATCACAAACGAGAGCCCCATGTTGAACAGGAGGCGAGCTCAATCGGTGCAGCTGCTACATTAGTTGAAACTTCCGCCAACAAAAAAATCAAACTACTCAATCGATTTGAGAAGGAGCCGCGTTGTATCCGTGCAGCTGTTACAGGAAGCCTCAAGCGAGAACCCCATTCTGAAAGGGAACCGTCGTCCGTCCCTGCAGATGCTGCAATAATTCAAAGCAGATTTGCGCTGCGCTAATGAGAGAGTCTCATGTCGGGATGGAATCGCCCTCCATCCCTGTAAAATTTGGAATATGTCAAGCCTAATGCTCGCGGCGCTAATGGCAGGGCCATTACTTTGAAAAGGAGCCGCCCACCATCCTTGTAGCTGCTACATTTTGTTGAGACGATGGAACGCGGCGCCAGGGCGATAACCACATTTTGACGACAAGGAACCGCTCTTCAACCTCGTAGCTGCTACAATCTGTTAAAACGAATGTGCGCAAAGCTGAGGCGAGAGCCCTATTTTGAAAACCATCGGTGATCCATTCTTGTAATCGCTGCGAATTGCAAGCCTCGGAAGTGGAAATGGTGCAGAAGTCTCAGGCGAAACGCTCGGCTTGCCTCACCAGCACGTCCGGGGGTGCGACAAGGAGAATTCATCTATAAGATCAAGATGTGTAAGAGGAAAGACAAGGAGGGAGGAAGAGGAGCAGGAGGAAAACACAGCGAGAGGGAGGAGGAAGGAAGGACGAGGGGGAGGGAGGATGAGCGATCCCGCGATCCCCAGACGACCCCGCTGTGAGTGCATTGAAGGTGTGGTCGCTGCACCGTTGATGGACTTCCGATCTCCCCCCAAAGACGGCCTTCGCCTCCCGCAGAGGTCGTATGGGACGGCCCAGAGGCCCAGAAGCGGCCCCTCCGCGGATGCCGAGAACGGCGCGGACGCCGCCCGCGCGCGCGCGTCTTCCTGCGTGCGCCCCACCGAGCGCGTACGACCCTGCTCACGTAGACGACATAAGAATGGGCCTCTAGATCTGTTGATCTCTGGCAAAGAAGACCCAGGTCCAGATCCAGACGTTCGATCTCTGCCGAATCTAGACAAAACCCCCGCAAGCTGGAAGCCAGATGCCCTCGCTGCGTCATCGGGATCTCGAGCAGCCTGGAAACTAGACTCTCTCATGCTTCGTGCCACCTGGCTGTGTTATACGTCGTGGTCCCGAGAATCCGATGCCTTGACTTGTTCAACATGGGCCCCGACGAAGTCCCGACCCTTTCCCCCAGCCCAGTTCTTTCGTCCTGAATAAATGTCTACAAGGTCCCTGGGCTCGGCGAGGGCCCCTGGTGCGGACACGCAGAGGTACCGACACAGCTACTCCACGGCCCTCTCCTGGGGTGCGCTCTGACCAGATTTTCGAGGCGAATCCAGCGGTGGGGACAAGGGCCTCCCAGGAGGCCCCAAAAAGGGACAACGGTCGAAGGGTAGCGGTATGGGTACCCTTTCCTCCTCTGGCCTGGAGAACGAAAAGTGCCGAAGAACGCCATCTGTCGTTTGCCCAAGGCGTCCGAGGTCTGGATCCCGCTGCCCCGTCCCAGGGCCTCCCGCACGGCCGTGACGCTCCAGCCCTTGTGCACGCGCGGCTGCACAGATCGTGGGCAAGACCTGCGGAGGAAGGCTGCTCAGCTGCTTTTGGGAGAAGGAGGAGGAGGAGGAGGAGGAGGAGGAGGAGGAGGAGGAGGAGGAGGCCCACACATCCGAGGAGCGAGAGGAGGGGCAGAGGAGGGGGGGTCGAGACATGATCTTGAGCTGTTGGGGCATTTTTGGGGCTTTCAGGGTCTCTAGAGACCTTTGGGGCCTCCAGAGACCTCATGAGGACTTCCGGAGGCCACAAAAAGAGGGCAAGGAGGACAATGAGGAAGAGGACCTATGGCAGAAAATCAGCCGAACTGACCTTGCGACCTGCACACGCAACTCCGATGCGTAATCTGCTGAGCTCGCTGGCTGTTGCTCATGATGCTCCCAGCCTCAACGTGCCTCTCAATGGCCTCAAACAGCGGCACGGGCACTATAGAATGGCCTCAGCTACCTTCCAGAGCTGTTACCAAATACTGCCGTACTGCTGATCCCAGTCGGGCTGAGCACCTGCACGTCACCAGCTGCATGCTTTACAACGGTCTGCACCGACAGGCCGCACAAGTCGATTAATTCCACTTTTCCTAGACCCGCGAGCAGCACAAACAGCTCCACTAATACACATATGACTGAAGTCAAGGACCAACATGCTACGCTTGTGCTTGCAGTCAACATGTACTGTACTTGGAACGCCTGCTCTTCTCGCGCCCTCCATTGGACAGCGGGACCACAGTGCAGCGGAGCCGTGCATCTCGTGGCTCCTGTCCATGCAGAGAGGAAGCACAAACCACGCCATTCACAGATCGCTGCAGAAAGATTGTGACCCAAACTGGCCGCGACGAGCAGCGACGTGAAGTAACAGGACGGCACACACACACACACACACGCACACTTTTCCTCGAGCGCAGCGAGGGTCGCAATCACTGGGCCAGCTAGGACGGGACACTTTCGAAATCGACTGACCACCTTGTGAGGGAAAGTGAACACACACACACACAGAGACACACACACACACACACGCGCACATTGTTTCCCAGATGGGCCGCAAGGATGCGGGTGCCAATCCGAGCTACGACCAGTGGCGACTGTACGGTGCGAGGCCGTAGAGGAAAAGTCGCAGAGAGCACGCCTTGGCGCTGGCAGCCCCTCGCTCCGCGCAGGGGCGGCACAGTCTCGCCTAAGCCAAGAGCCGGCTGGGTAATGAGCATCGTTTAACCGACCCATATCTCCATGGGAGTGGCCTGGGCCCCACTGGCCGATTGTCACCCCCTACTTACGCAGGACGAAAGATTTTCCTCTTGAGGTGCAAATGGCCATGAGGAGTTCGCAAGACAACGTCGGCGCCGGAACGGACGGCGACCAGACGAGCTGTTTGCAGCAACCGGGGTGAGAGGGATGTATGTATTCATTTCGAATGGGACCCGCGCGCGCGGGGAGCTGATGGGTGCGCGCGAGACGACGCAACGCCCATCGTGGAGAGTTAATTACCGAACCCCCCATCCCCCGTAGAATCTTAACACGGGCGGTTTGCGGGGTCCGCGGATCCGATTTCTTCCGGTTCCCTGATTTAGTTTCATAATATAGGTTTAAGACAGGGTAGAAATCGGATCCGCCGTGAAAAATAAGACCCAACACGGATCCAGCAAATCCGAAATCGGATCCGCGCGGACAGGAATCGGATCCACCGAAACACACACCAAAACCAAAATTGGATCCGCGCGACCTTCATTGGATCCGACGGCGGGTATCTCACACGCGTCTGCTTCAGACTTCAACCTTCGTTCCGGGCCCAAGAGGAAAAAACTTTCGTCCTGGGGATCTAGGTGGGGATATCGGCCGTTTCCTTTGGGCTTCGAAGGGTATATCCCCAATTGGGGAGCTGAGATGGTGGGGGTCTGTAGGGTGAGTGTGGGGATAGGGGTCGGTGAAAAGATACTGAGGTAAGGCGGGCCCTGGTGGCGGATGGGGGACCAGGGGACAGCGAGAACGGTGAGCACGGGGGCAGGACAGCACGGGCGCGGCCCGAGCGGTAGCGATGCATCGCCGCAGAACGCGCACACGGCATACACTCTCCGCGCTCCCGTGACCACTTTGGCTCAAGCGGCGGCGTGGCCGCCCCTGACACCTGCGCACCAACCGGGCTAGGGATGCCTCGAGGTGTCCCGCGTGAGCACTGCCGACAGCTTCGCGGCGCAGCTCCACCTCGTGACGAGGCGCGCCAGCTCCGCAACCCAGCGGACCTTCTCCTTCTCCACCACGCGACTGACTACCTACCAGACCACCCCAACCCAACCCGAAGACCCGAATTTCGGGTTGGGGGGGGGGTGTGGGCTCCATATGTGTTTTTGTCGATGTTCCCGGACCCCCCCCACACTAGAAATCGAGGGTAAGTCTGAGCCTTCGGGCTGGGTTGGGGTGGTTTGGTGGGTGGTGAGCGACGCCCCCCAGCATCTCCTCCGCGAGGTGTCCCGCGTGAGCACTGCCGACAGCTTCGCGGCGCAGCTCCCCCTCGTGACGAGGCGCGCCAGCTCCGCAACCCAGCGGACCCTCTCCTTCTCCACCTCGCGACGCCCCCAAAAGCATATCCTCCGCAGGCTTTCCGGCCGCCGCTCCCGGCGCGTGCCCCCGCTGGCCCGCGCCCTCGCCCCGCCCGCCCGCAGCTGCCTGGACACGGCGACGGGCCTCGCGGCCCGCCGCCAGAGCCGCTGCCGCCTGCCTCCGCGCGGTGCCCACGGCACGGCCGACCAGCGCTGGCCCTGACGCGGCGGCCGCTGCCGCCTGCGCCAGGGCCCAAAGGGGGCCCTGGACGACACGAGATGGCCCCAAGACGACCGACGAGAGCCCCAAGGCCTGGCCGACCAGCGCCAGCTCTGACGCGGCGGCCGCTGCCGCCTGCGCCGGGGCCCGAAGGGGGCCCTGGACGACAGGAGATGGCCCCAGGACGACCGACGAGAGCCCCAAGGGACCCCCAAGAGACTGCCTCTCGGGAGGCCAGGAGCCCCAAGCTGGCCCAGAGGAGCCTCACGAGATCGCCAGAAGAAGTGGAGGCGAGAGGCGTCACGCGTGACAGCTTCCTGGGCGGTGCTCGAAGCGAAGGATCGCCACACGGAGTGCGTCGCTGTCGCGATTGGCGGCTTTGCCCGGAGCACTTCAATATGTGTATGCATATATGCCAGAGCCACGCGCGCGCTTCGCGCGCGATTGGGTTCTAACACATGCCAGGGCGCTGTCACGACAGAATTGTTTTCTGATGCGACGCCTCGTGGCGCTGACGCCAGCCTTCGCTACCGACGCGTGATTTCTGGACCAGATCGCTCCGTACTTTCCCTTGGAACGTCCTCCAATATTTCTTATACCAGGACCGGTGTGGGTAGATCGGAGGCTTCGGGCTTGGGGGTGAGATCGAAGTGGAGGGGGGAGAACCCCATCGGAAAATCCGTTTCGGTTTTTGGTTCGTGCCGTGCGTGCGGGCGAGGCGAAGCTGCGTGAGCGGGTGAAAAGAATGACCCCGCTGTGGCTAGGGCGCGTCAAGAGCCTTTGACCTCCCCTCCTCCCTCCCCGATGGGCGGGCGGTGGCCGGCTTGTCCCGCAATGGTGTTCCGTCGCTGTCCGCCTCTCCCCCGCGGTGGGCGGGCGGTGGCCGGGTTGTCCCGCCGTGGTTTCCCGTTGGAGTCCCGTCGATGTCCCGTCGGTGTCCCGTTGGTGTTCCGTGGCTGTCCCGTCGCTGTCTCGTCGCTGTCCCGTCGGTGTCAAGTCGGTGTCCCGTTTGGGTGTCCCGTCGGTGTCCCGTTTGGGTGTCCCGTCGGTGTCCCGTGGTGAGATCGATCGAGTGGGATCGACAGCGGGGATCACATCGCGGCGCAGCATCGTCGCCACGCGTCGTCGCCAACTCGAGGGTGCATCACCAGCATCGTCATCATCACAGCCATCGCAATTGTCGTCACCCAAAGGGTGGTCGTATAGGTATGAGGTTGGGGGGTGAGATCGCAATGGAACGGAGTCCCCCAACCGTGAAATCGCTTTGTTTCGTTCGTGTCGTGCGTGCGGGCGAGGCGAAGCTGCGTGGGCGCGCGAGAGGAATGAACCCGCCGCTGCCAGGGCGAAGTCAAGAAAAATGATGCTCCCCCGTCCGTCCGTCCGTCCATCCGGCGGTGGCCCTAGCGGTGTCCCGCGGTGTCCCGTGGTGTCCCGTGGTGTCCCGCGGTGTCCGCCGTTGCTAGGGCGAAATCAAAACAAATGTTTCGCTCCCGTCCGTCCGTCCGGCGGTGGCCCTAGCGGTGTCCTGCGGTATCCCGTGGTGTCCCGTGGTGTCCGCCGTTGCCAGGGCGAAGTCAAGACAAATGATTCTCCCCCGTCCGTCCGTCCGTCCGTCCGGCGGTGGCTCGCGGTGTCGCGTGGTGTCCCGTGGTGTCCGCCGTTGCTAGGGCGAAGTCGAAACAAATGATTCTCCCCCGTCCGTCCGTCCGTCCGTCCGTCCGGCGGTGGCTCGCGGTGTCCCGTGGTGTCCCGTGGTGTCCCGTTGAGTGAGATCGATAGTGAGATCGATACTGAGATCGATTCTGAAATCGATGTGGTGCCCCGATGTGTCCCGTGGTGTCCCAAAAAGTGAGACCGATAGTGAGATCGACAATGAGATCGACAGGTGTCCCGTGGTGTCCCGTTGAGTGAGATCGATGGTGAGATCGATGTGGTGCCCCGAGGTGTCCCGTGGTGTCCCAAAAAATGAAACCGATGAGATCGATAATGAGATCGACTGGTGTCCCGTGGTGTCCCGTGGTGTCCCGTTGAGTGAGATCGACAATGAGGATGTGGTGTTCCGAGGTGTCCCGTGGTGTCCTATGGTGTCCCGTTGAGTGAGATCGATAGTGAGACCGATATTGAGATCCAGAAGTGTACCGCGGTGTCCTGTGGTGTCCCGTGGTGGCCCAGGGTGTCCCGCGGTGTCTCAAACAGCATCTTGGCCCCCCCAAAAAATCAAAAAACTTTCGAATAACTAGGAATGAACAACGTGTATGCTCCAATTTCCGAGGAGATCGATAATGAGATCGACAAGTGTCCCGTGGTGTCCCGTGGTGTCCCGTGGTGCCCCGTTGAGCGAGATCGATAGTGAGATCGATTGGGTCAGATGTTGGTTCACCCCCCTCTCCCCCCCCACAACCTCCTTATCACCCGAAGGGTGGTCGAATAGGTAATGATTATGGAGTGGGCAGGCTTGGAGTGCAGTGGTCTCTTGGGGATCTTCCTGGAGTGCGCTAGGGCTGCAGTAGGTCTCGCTAGGGGGCGTCTTCGCGCCCTGGTGCTCTTTGAAGGCCCTCTTGGGGATCTCTTGGCCGCTTCCAGAGACTGCACACACGCAGCCCGAAGACCCAGCTGGCCGATGAGCGCGCGGCGGAAAGTCGACTCAAGAGTATGGCTGGGGTGCCAAGGTTCGGAGATCGCAGAAGTGCTAAAAACCAGGAAACGTTCCAACTCCTCCTCCCCCTCATCCTCCTCATCCTCCTTCTCCTCTAACTCCTCCTCCCCTCCCTGACATCATCGGGACACCGCGAGACACCACGGCGGGACACCCCCAGCCACCGCGCGCCCACCAGAGGGCCCGACTTTTGCATCTGAATCGCCGTAGCGACGGCGGGATTATTCCTCTCGCGCGCTCACGCTCGCTTCGCCCGCACGCACGACACGAACACGAAACCGAAATCGATGTTCTGGTGGGGGTTTCTCCGTTCCACTGCGATCTCACCCCCCGACCTCCGATACCATATGTGTTTGCGCACATAGAGATGCAGGATGTTTAATGGGCTGCCATCATGCGACGCACGCCTAATGGACACATCGTACTCCCCCTAACTCGGCATCAATTATTACCCACCTTCGTGATGAGGAGTTGAGCCAGGAAGAAGGAGGAGCACAAGCGTAATGCCGAGGATCTGGAGACGGACGAGGGCGACGAGTGGGCCACATGCAATTTAAATTCTCTCGGGAGAGCAATCAAAGATGCTCCCCATCTTGATGCGGGTCCACGATTCATGGTGGTAGCACCTGGGACGCTTCAACTAACATGTACGCGCACACGATGTATCTTTGGCCTAAGGTTCGCAGACGGGTATGTTAAGCAATTCCGGAGAAGGACGGTGCCACAGACCTCCGTCGACGCGTTACTGGAGTCATGGTACAGGTCCGACTGGGCACGACGAGCCCTCGAAAATACATCACATGCGACATGAAGCACCATTCGATGCCTCACTGAATTGTGCGACTGCCGGCAAAAAAGGAAATGCGAAGCCATCGGGCAGCGGCAGGATGTACGACGAGATCGTTCGAAGGCGTTTCGGCACAAGGGCCAAGCTTGGCAGAGCGCGGGAGAGGGGGGGACAGCAGGAGAGTGGTTTCCGGCCCTCCCCCCCGCAGGTAGCCCGAGGCGCGTCACCTCCTCTCCGAGGTCACCCCAAGAGCTGCAACCGCACGGTGGCGGCCAGCGCACGAGCTCGTTGCTCGCTCAGGAGACGAAGCGACATGACTCCCTCGGCGTCGTTGGCACTTTATGAGGTTTGCCTTTCCCGCTCTCCCCCACATCAAGGCCCTGCGTTTCCAGTGGTTTCAGAGCGAACGTTACGCCCTTGTAAATGTAGATGGCACTTCAATGGGACCCCATCGGGAAGCAATCTTTTCTTCGGACAACACAACTCAAAGGCCCTCAAAGTGGGTACCCGGGCAAGTCCACGGAGTCACCACCAGCAGAAAGAGATTATCTGCGTCTTGTCGAGTCTAAGGGGGGGAATGCAACGCAAACAAATTGCAGCCTGTCGGCGGCGCAATCATGCAGAGGTGGAGCGCACTGGAGACTCGCGACCCATGGAGGAGCGGTGACTATATAAGCTGAGCTCCCGATGCGCATGACAATGCGAAAGACAATGCGTCCCGGCGGAAGGAAATCGCTAAGAAGTCTCGTTGCAATTCACTGGCAACTGAGACGTGTTTAAATACGTACCCCAGGAGGGAGGAGGCGGAGGAAAGAGAGAGAGGACTCGACGCTGAGCGCGTGCTCGACGAGGGCCCCCTGGAAGAGAGCGGTCAGAGAGCCCGGCGGCCCATCAAGAGCCTCCTCTCTACTGCAAGCGGCGCGTGGGCCAAATCATCGGCACGACGAAAAATCTGCACGGGAGCGCACCGTGCCTCATCCAGCGGGGGGGGAGCTGAGGAGGAGAACCCGAGAGGGGAGGAGGAGAGGGAGGAGGAAGACATTATCCCGCTGCGCGCGGGCTCGGGGCGGCTCCTCTGTGGGAGGGCGGCCAGCGAGTCTGGGCGGCCAAGTTTCGGCCTCCTTTCACTTGCAGCCGGCTCGGACGCCAATTATCAGCACGGCGTTCGACCGCCATGGGCGCGCGCCGTAACTTGATCCAAGGAGAAGGCGGAGGAGGAGGGAGGAGGACGGAGGAGAGGAGGAACGTTCCTGCAGAACGTCGCGCAGCCCATCGCCCCCGAGGCGGCCCTCTCCCGGGGCCGGGCCAAGTGAGACGGCGTGCACGGGGGGAGCGACGAAGAGGCAGGCAGAGGGGGCGAAGCGCCGGCCCGCCCCGGAAGAGTTGGCCCGAGCTCCGCCTCCGGGAGGCGAGCGCGGGAGGAAGAGAAGGGGAGTGCTGGACTGACTGGGATCACGGTGGCCTCGAGCCATCTCCCCTGCTCATCGAACAATCCCCAGCACGGAACGTGTTCGCACTGGCGACACATGCAAAATCTGAGCAAGGCTTGTGCTCAGCGTGGGTGGCGGGCGCTCCCCTGAAATCGCCACCAAGAAACCAACAATTACCTAATGCACGCCTTGCGGGCTCGCGCGGGCCCTCCCGAGCGGGACCCCAGCGAGCCACAGGGGCTGCATTAGGAAACCTGGCGCTCACGCAAGCAGGAAGAGGGAGGCAGGAGGCGGGGAACGAACTCAAGAAATAGGCGGTGCGTGAGACGGAATGCAGTACAGTCGGGGCCTTGACCTAAGGAACCCAGGAACCCAAAATAAGGAACGAGGCCCCTATTTTCCGTAAGTTGAACTTCGATTTCGTATCGAAAACCTAAGGGAAATCCAAGGCAAGCTGCGAAACAATTAAGGAACACCGAGCCCCTCCCCAACGAAAAGGGTTTCTTCTTCAGGGCCCCGACTGTATGACATGCGCTGGCTGTGAGGCCAGGGCGGTGGGGCCACCGGCAGTGCGTGAGACGCACGCCTGCCATGAGCAGAGCCCAGCGGCGAAGCTCGGTGGCCGTTGCCGAGGACTGCGGCGGCTCCAGGAGCAGGGAGCGTGCCCGCTGCGCAGCTGGCACGGCATGCCGCGGCAGCCCCACTTTGTGCGGCCGCGTCTCGCCGCGGCACGCGGGCACGTCGCGTAATGCTCCACGGAATCCTCCGCGCCTGCGCAGCCGAAGCGGCAGTGGGCGCGCTGCAGCCGCCGGGCGGTGACCCACCCGCCACCCATTCCACAGGGATCGAATGCAGGCCGACAGCGCCCTCGGGGGCACCTTGCCCGCAACCGCTGGGTAGGTCGCGAGGGCCCGATCCACCATCTCTTCCGTGGCGATGCCGCACTGCCATCGAGCAAGCCGGCGGAAAAGGAACTGCCTGAGAGGGCCTGCCCGGTCCGGAGCAACCAGCTGCACGCACGTCCGCTGCCACCTCGGACTCTGGACAGCCAGCTCCCGCGGTCCCTCGGCCCCAGAGAATCCTCCATTCCTGGGAGTGGAATGACAGGCCCCAGCAATGGATCTTTACTGTCTGTAAGGCTAGACGTTCTGACTGCATTTATGCGTCTCGCAAGGATCAGGCTTGCAGGAGATATCACTTACAGTTGTCCCAGTTGGCCTCGGACCCCAAGGGCAACACTCTTTTTCTTGCCCGCCAAAAGCACAATCTGAATGTTGTGATGATGTGTTCTGGCTGCGGGGAGTACAGCGAATCGAATGTACAAGAACTCAATGAGAGCTCCCATGGCTTCAGGAGAGCGGGGGACAAGACGCAGTGGAACCTTCTCTGCGCGAGAAATGACCCGAAATCCTCTCTTCGCTCCCCGTCTCTGTTCCCGAGCCCCCTTTGCGGCTCTTGGGTTCTTGCCGCAGAAGCAGCCAGAATCACAGAAGCCCACTCGTAACAGAAGGATGCAGTGCCTGAGCGGAGCTAACCTGCTGCGCTCTCCAGCCACGTGCTGATCCTCCTCCTCCTCCTCCTCCTCCTCCTCCTCCTCCTCCTCCTCCTCCTCCGCCTCCCCCCGTCACCAGACTTCCCCCTCTCCTCGAGGGGCGGGGGGCGAGGCGGGAGACGGAGGGCGAGGCGGGAGACTGTCTGCCGGGCGCCGGGCTCCAGGCGCCCGTGCTCCCAGTCTCGCAGCCACTCCCAGTTCACCTGCGGAGGCCCCCCATCCCCCCCCCCAGGAGGGGGACGCCCAGGAGGGGGGCTCGCGAATCACGACCCCGAGCACGTGTGCGACCCAGAAAGGGGGGGGGGGCAGAGGACGTGCTGAGAGAGGAGCAGTACTAAGAAGAGGGGGCCACGACGTCTGGGGAGACGTCGCGTCTCCGGCCAAGACGCTCCCCCCAGTTTCCACCCCTCCCTCAGCAGCCCCCGACTCTTCGGCATGGGAGCAGGACTGGAGGCCCCCTCCTCCTCCGGCACGATGAAGTGCAACGACAGGGGGAGATCGGCTCGAGGGGGGGAACATCGACGTCGAACCTGCGATACATCGCCGATGGATCGGCGAAAGGCTCTCCACCGCGAATCCGCACGTTCCAGGGCAGGTTGAGGCTATCAGGCCACTGTCGGCGATGAATGGTCTATGGGGGTTCGATGCGTTCCTCCCTGACTACCTTGTCCCCCCGAACGTTGCCCCTGACATGATGGCAAGATCAGTCAACATCGAATCGGGAAGTCGGATCAGATCGGACCGTGCGTCGGCTCAGGCTGCATCGGCACGGAGTCGAGACCGAGTCTGATCGGTCGCGCCAGGATGCACCGACACCCCGTGAAAACATCAAGCCACATCGGCATCGGATCAGCGGAACACCAGGATATCGGAATCGAGTCGAGCTCCGCCCCTCCCTGCCCAGCATGAACGGAGGAACAACGTCACTACATAAATATGAACTTCCGGAGGTCCGCGCAGATCTCTTGGATCGGCCCTTGACACCCCCTGGCAGCGCCTCTGGCGCTGCCCCTGGCGGGCTTCGCGCCCCAGGGAGGGGAGCCCAAGAAATGCGGACCTCAGGGAGCGAATGATAAACCCAGCTGTTCGTCCGAGTGAAAGCAGCAGGTCCTGAGAGAAAGGAGTCCCGCGAGTCTTTCGCCGACTTCGGGCCCCTGGGGCTTTCCACGGACGCCCAAGGCAATCAAAAAACCTGCTCAAGGTAAATATCTGCCCCCGGGCAAGTCCAAGGCCTAGGACCAGCATCCCCGAGAGCCGTTTCCTTCCTGGCCACTCCTCCCCCCTGATCGTCAGGGAACTTATCGGCCGCCTCTGGAAGTCCCTGATCCAATAATGCTGACGTCTCACGTTCACTTTCGCCTGTGGATCCGCTGTCACGTCCGCCGGCTTCCGCCGAAGGCGAGAATGCGCCGGGTGCGAAGCTCTTTCTGGAACGCACCGTGAATTTCCACCGCCTGGGACCCCGATCGTCCAGGACCCATGGGCATCGGTTCCCCAATCAGCTGACATGTGCAACTCCACATTCGCCGCTGTTTCCCTCCCTCTCCACCAGGCCGAAGACGACCATCAGAGACACGGCAATGCATTCCCTCGGTGCGGAGGCCAACAGACGCCGTCCAAGATG